CTGTTATGATTACATTTTTTTGTAGAATTCCTCTGCAGATGCTTAAGATGGAGGAAGGGAATTTACTTTTATTTGTTTTGGTTGTCCTATGTGTAATCCTGTATTGGTTTTGGTGCTCCTTATTCAGAATCTTCTCTGAATACAGACTCACTTCCTCTCGGATTTTTCTTACATTATTTGTTATTCTAAGACACAAATTGTTAATATAGTGTTGTAATACCCTCTTACAATGAGGACTAAGGCACACACTAAGAGGGGTCAAAAGCACACACTCATTTTAGGTACATAGTCTAAGAAATGTAGATCCTAACTTTTCAAAGTATTTAACATTGAATGTCACTTGTCATAAGCTTGCCTCTCATTGACTTCGTTTTGAAATTAAGTTCTGATTGATAATTTTGCATGTAATTTCTTTGACTTCTCAAAATAGAAAAAGCAGATCCACAGCATCTCTCTCAACTGTTGTACATTGGAAGAATATCATTAACTGATCGCTGAAATTACCCAGAATGCATGCACATTTTGTGTGCTTTTATGGTGTGAGCGCACACAATATTTTTTGCAAGCCATTCAGTTCTTAGATACATTTACTTACTTTTGCATGCTCTCTTGAGAAATCTTTGGCAGCTCCATTTCTTGTCTTGAGCCACTACATGTGATTATTGGCAGTCAAAAATTTTAGCTTTCAGGAGAACGGCTGCTGTTTTAGTCTTTTTTTATTATTGGTTGGTTGTACTGGTCATTTAATTATAATGTTTGGAATTATTTAAAGCAGAGTAAAAGAGCCAAGAAGATTATTAAAGGAGCTACCTGCCAAACACAATTCCACCTCATTTTAATTCCTGTGGGGGTGATTCCTATTTCCTTTAATTTGAATCTGTCATAAACTATATCCGACAAGGGATTTGCAGGATTGAGTACTCTGTAAGTTTGGCTACTGCAACGAGAGTGAATGAGCACATTTCTTTAACTCAGGCTCTTCATCTTTGTATTGCAGTAGAGCATTCCTCAACTACCTGGAATTCTTTCTTAACTGAGGGTATACAGTATGCAAGAAGTTGAATATTGGAAAACAGAGGCGAAGAGTCAGGCAATATTCAAGCTGCCAGTTGAAAATAAGACTTCACTTCAGGCTGGCTTAACTGTGGTATCAGAAGTTCATTTTGTGGCACAAAAATGGTATCTGTGCTATTTAATTATGAGCATTATGACAGCTATCACTAGTATACTTGCTACCCTGCTAGAAAATGCCATGAATGACATTAATAGCTGAGAATTATTTCTATAAGAAGAAACCCAGGGAAGATGGCTACCCCACAAACCATGTCCTTTGGCTCAAAATTTTTGGTAATGCCCTATCAAGAAATTATTTTCTTTCCTATTCTGTCTTCACTTACGGCTCATGTTTTTGTCTGATAAAGAGATTGTTACACATTTTCTCTCAACTGTAGCCTCCATATCTTTGTGGTTTGGTTTTGTCTTTTTACTTTTTTCTTATTCCTATATCCCAGCCCTGGGTTTTTCACCACTGATTTCATAAACAGTGGAGAAAAGCAGGAGGCTCTCTTTACAACCTCAAGACAAAATCCAGTACTTTTAATTTTTTTTTTCTTAAAATATTTAGCTATAAGGAGGAAGAGGCAAAGTCTGCATCAAAACCAAAGGAATTCCCTAAAGACAAAAAAATAAAATGAAATCTTCCATCTATGATAGTTCATTTTGGTTTGGGTTTTTTTTTTTTGAAGGAGAAGAAAAGACTGCTAGGAAGGATTAGATACGAATTGCATAAGTGCAATTTTCACCTGAGAATTACTTCCCTCTGTGCTTTTTTTATGTTGCATCTTTTTAAAAAAAAGAAATATTTTAATTAATGCAACCATCATGACTTAGTTTTTTTACCTGGCAAGGGAAATAGTGTTTGACACCATCAATTATGTTACAAAGGAACCATATGTATGAGCAAACAGGGACTGTATCAAAGAACGTATTGCCTGCAAGTAAACAATAGAATTAAGGGAGCTACACTGATGTAAAAAAGATGGAAATCTAGACAGTGTTTATTCTATCAATTAAATGTTAGACTCTGTCAGCCTTGTTTGATGCTTTTTCAGCTCAGCTTCTCCTGAGCTGTTTTATGAGAATGTGATCAGCAAATATTTTTAGATGTTGGAAATTGAGTCTACAAATTCTGATAAATAATAGATTTTATAATACTCTATAGTATTTTATAAATACTCTGTTCTTGTTTCTGCAGTGGAGGTTCACTCTGGGTTTCTTTCTTTTCAGACCTGTGTGTGGAATCAGAGGGAAAACTCTCATAATTAATCTGCCAGGTAGCAAGAAAGGGTCACAGGTAAGAAGTGTTCTTACTGATCTGCTACTGAGGACCCATGATGAGTACCTCCCATTGTTCTGAATGGTAGAAAGTACCCACTACAAAAAAATTTACAAAAGTGAATTGAAATGCACATTCATATGACTGAAAACACCCTCACTCTCAGTCAGGGACGATACAATTCCAACCTGATTGAAAGCACTGTGGGACCAGGACAGTATTACATGTAGTGTAAGAGAGCACTCACTGTAGTGGAGTGCTAGTGAAGAGCTTAATTGTCTCTTACGCTTCCTCCTTCTCTAGTCAGCCCATACCTGATCCCTGTGTTGCCTACAGCTTCCAAGAAAGCGTTCTTTTTCACACAGAAGTAAGAGGAAGGTGTAGTATATGGTAGAATTTCCTGGAATGTGAAGACTATTCCCAATTTTTGTCAGCAAGAGGGGAAAAAAGGAACAAAATTTTTTAAGAGTTTGAGGATTTTTAAAATCTTTTGGATATGGGTATCAGAGTTTACACCCTTTATATACTTTTTTTTCCTCCTGTATTTTGTTCAGATTGGACAGGGAAGTTAGGCTTTATGTTTTTATTCATGCTTCCTTTCTGACAGTAGAGCTGAGAGAAACACAATTAAACATCAGGAGGAATTTTTTTTGTGTTAGTAAGGCTAGATCTTTCCAGTGGTCTTCCTTTCTGTGAGATCGAGAAAAAGCAGCATTTTCCACACAAATACTGCTAAGCTGAATAGTGGGCTGTACAAAATGATACAAAACTGCTAAGGTGGATCCCCCATCAATCATGAGAACATATTTCTCCAGGGCTTAGACTATGCCAGTGGCCTTGTGTCTTTACCTCTGGCCTCTAACAAATGCGTACCTGGTAGTTTATCAAGGTCTTCTGAACCAGTAGCACCCTGTCACAGAGGGCAGAGTACTAATCATAGAATAGTTTGGGTTGGAAGGGACCTTTAAAGGTCATCTAGTCCAACCCCACCTCGCAGTGAGCACGGACATCTTCAACTAGATCAGGTTGCTCAGAGCCCCATCTAACCTGACCTGGAATGTTTCCAGGGATGGGGCATCTACCACGTCTCTCGGCAACCTGTGCCAGTGCTTCACCAGCCTCATGGTGAAAAATTTCTTCCTTAGATCTAGTCTAAATCTGCCCTCTTTTAGTTTAAAAACATTACCCCTTGTCCTATTGCAACAGCCCCTACTAAAAAGTCTGTCCCCACCTTTCCTGTAGGCCCCCTTTAAGTACTGGAAGGCTGCAATAAGGTCTCCCCAGAGCCTTCTCTTCTCCAGGCTGAACAACCCCAACTCTCTCAGCCTTTTGTCATAGGAGAGGTGTTCCACCCCTCTGATGATTTTTGTGGCCCTCGTCTGGACCCGCTCCAACAGGGCCATGTCCTTCCTGTGCTGAGGACTCCAGAGCTGGACACAGTACTGCAGGTGGGGTCTCACCAGAGTGGAGTAGAGGGGCAGAATCGCCTCCCTCACCCCACTGGCCACGCTTCTTTTGATGCAGCCCAGGATACGGGTGGCCTCCTCGGCTCTGAGCGCACATTGCCGGCTCATGTCCAGCTTTTCATCCCCCGCTACCCCCCAGTCCTTCTTGGCAGGGCTGCTCTCAATCCCTTCATCCCCCAGCTTGTATTTGTTTGGCAGCACAACCCTGAAGTCACTGTTGCTTGAAAGACTTATGTCTAGAGATAAATAATGAATACTTATGTGGGCTGTCACCTTGAAGTTGAAGAGGAAATATTTTGAATACTATTATCTCAAGTAGCCATTGCAGGTTTTCAGATACATTGTCTACGTATTTCACTTTAAGGACTCAGTAAGCTCTTCTATGATTCTATCATTCCTTAGAGCCTTTTTAGGAAATCTAATGAGACTCTGTAATTGAAAAGAAATTAAAAAGCCTTCAAAACATGTAACAAGCATTGGAGGATAGTAGGGCAGGAGTATTATCTGCTTGAAAGTCTTCCAGTTATGAGTGCGAATTCATATGTATGTACGTGTATTTAACATAGCAGTGAGCCCCACATTTTAGAGAACTGGTGCACCAGTAAGAAGTTTTTTGTAAGAAGTCTATAGTTCTTCTATTGAATTAAGAAAGAGATGAAATAGCCTATAGTCTCTAATGCTTTTTGTTGTGTTCAGTAGCACTCCTAACATGCTAGGTACAGAAAAAATTGTAGTTTTCCACCTTGAGGCACTCAGACTGTGAAGATAGGTAAATTGTAGAAAGAAGATGAGGAAGAGAAATGAAAACATTTTAGTAAGTATTTTAACAATAGTTCGATATAAATTAAGTAATTAAAAAGGTAATTCTGCTGGAAGATAAAAAAAGTCATATGATTTCATTATACGTGCAAGCTTTTTACAAACTGATGATTTATTTGTTCCTGTCATGATGATGCTCTGTTCTGTCCCAACTTATTTTAATATGAAACATCTTTAAAGTATCAGATTTCAGCAAAGATTTTTAAGATGAATAGTAGAGGAAATTGTTCCATAACAAGCTGGATCTCAAGAACCAAACAGAATGGGTTGTTACCAGGAATTTCTCTCATTTTTCTCTTTTATGACTTTCTAATTTCCTTTCCATCATATTAATACAATCATATAAGAAGCTTACATAAAGCTATGAATTGCAGCAGTAGACCTATTTCATTAATAAAATATTAAAATATTAATAGAAAATGGCAGCAATGTAAATGCTCCGTCTTAAAAATGGATGCAATGCATGCCGAACGTGTTTTCTCCAGAGAACGTTTGTGTGGCATGTACCACTGAATCAAGATCCGTAGAATGCTTCCATTATAGTGTTGTTCTGGCTCGTATTATTTTCTTTTTGCCTTGCAAAAGGTATTTAATGTTATGAAAGAGGGCAAAGTGTGGAATTACTAGATGTTCATTGAAATCATTGGGTCTATGGCAGTTCTCATAATTGTAGTAACAATTGCCTAATACAATGAGTTTTACAAATAGCACGAGCTGTTAGAATACTTACTGAGAACCTATTCACCAACAGTTACGCCAACAAGGCTGTATTTTTGTGGTAGGAGCGGGGAACATGCTTATCTAATGAGTTAATCATTAATGTACTTTTTCATGATTATTGGTCAGTTCACAGATCGTTGTCCTTGTACACCACTTACTTGAGGTCTGCTTTTTTACTGAAGTAGTGATGAGTGTATACTTCCATATTTTAAACCTTTTAAAAATAATACTGTGGAGGCACAATAACTCTGAGGTTTGCATTTATGTTAGAAGTTATAATTCTTTATTATGTTTACAAATATATTTTAATATGTATTCATTATATACAGCATCTTATGCTCATCCAGTTTACTCCAGTTCTTCAGAGTGCCAAATTGAATGTTTAAAGAATTTATAAATCTATGAAGTAGTCTGACTTTTCATTACTCTTAAAGGAGCAACTGAAGGGTGGGTTCTTATTTAGAAGCTTTGAGGAAATACAGTGTTTGTGAGTCATGTTTTTGACTTACAAAGTGGCTTATATAAACTCTAGTAATTTCTGACCTACGGTTTGCTCTTTATTTTGTTTACATAGTCATTTTTATTTATTGAAAATATTTGTTAGTGTATCTATTTACAAAATGTTTATCATTATTTATTTTCTGGATACTCTAAAATGTTAGAATACATTTTTTAAAATCTTCCTTATGCTTGAAACAAAACTGAAAATGAAGAGCAACAAAAGGAATTATGTCAGCTATCTCTGTCAAATTGTACATTCCCTAACGGCAATTCATTCTTGTGACCCTGCCATCATTTTACAACAATTTAATGTTTATATGCAGTCTGCTCAAATTACATGAAAAAAACTCTTTACTGAGGTGCCTGTGAGGAAAATGAGAGACAATAGTCATTAATTGAAGAAGGTAGCTTCAAGCTGGATAAAAAGAAAAGGGAAAAAAAAAATCATTTTGAGGGTAATTAAGCATTAGAACAGGTTGTCAAGAGGGGTTGTGGAGTTTCTGGTTTTGTATTTTTTTAAAGACTTTACTGAACAAAGCCCTAAGCAACCTGTTTGAATTTCATATTGACCCTGATCTGAGCAGGAGCCTGCACTGCACGACGTCCTGAGGTGGTTCTTTGATTTGATGAAATGCTAGGATATTTTAGCAGCAGAGGTAGCTATATATGTGTATGCCTATTATGGAACAAGAACGGTTACACGGTGTCTGCATTTTTGCTTTCTCCAGCCATATAAAAGAAACTTTCTAATTGTTTTTAAGATCATAGAACAAGGAGAGGTTTGAAAAATAATTATTTATGACCAGTTTTTTCTGAGTTACATAAAATTACAGTGACATCAATGTAGTTTGTCATTCTTCCAGTATAAAAGAGAAGTCCATGAATAAAAAAGCATATAATTATATAAAAGTATAATTATGGGAGCCCTTATGAATTGTTCTCTAATTGTGAAGGAACTTACCAGGAATAATTTGAAGCTAATATCCCTGCAGGGATAGAGTTAATGTTTTTATTCTGCATTTTTTTAGCATTCTGCCAACTGCTGTGAACTGGTTTCTGTATTACGTATTCATGAAAATTTAACTCTTGTTTTCTGAAGTTTTAATCCAATATTAGCTTAATTACAGTAGTCCTGGTATGCAACTTGCTATACTTGCATGAAAAAAGGCAAAAATATGTAGTATAGTCACCAGCTGTGGTTCTGAGCTTATTTTTTTACCCTCTATGAGCATTTGCATAGGGCACTTAAGGTTTTATTTATGATTGGGTGAAAAGATACATCTAAATCCCAAATATCTTTTAAGAGTTAATCTGCGAAATCCCTTTTTAATTCTGCAGGTAACTTTTCATAGTCATTTCTCTTCTTGTTGTGCATAGGAATGCTTTCAGTTTATACTGCCAGCCCTACCTCATGCCATTGATCTTTTGCGGGATGCCATTGTAAAAGTAAAGGAGGTACACGATGAGCTTGAAGATCTACCTTCACCACCACCTCCTCTTTCTCCTCCTCCAACCACCAGCCCTCACAAGCAGACAGAAGACAAAGGAGTACAGTGTGAGGAAGAGGAGGAAGAGAAGAAGGATAGTGGAGTTGCCTCAACAGAGGACAGTTCTTCATCCCATATAACGGCAGCAGCCATTGCAGCTAAGGTGAGTCTGGCTTGTTTCTCTAAGAGACCCTTTAGTTTCCATCTCCGGTACTTTCCACCAATATTCGTTTGCACATTAAGACTGTACACTGATGTCTGTGTGGTCAAACAGATGTATTTTAGGTACGTTTTGTAGAAATAGAGCTTCATAAAAATATCTGAATCCTGTGTTGGTAGGTGATATCAAATTTCAGGGGATATATATTCTTTATTATCTTAATGATAACATGCTTTTTTATGGTACCATTCTGATGTGACAGACTGCTTTTAGTGGTCTTTTTTTAATTCAAAGTACTTACATGCCTGAACATGCAAAATCCAGTAGGTGGCATATTAACGAATAGCAACAACATCTTCTAAGCCATAATCTCTATTTTGAAAAGAAAACCTTGGTTTCTAAAAACACTGATAAAAAGTATGACAGATAGGTAGCAGGTAAAGTAATAAGATATCCACACTACTGTATTCTAGTGTGCATGTCTGCATGAGAGAACTGAAATTTTGCCACAAAACTAAATGTCATCATATTGTCTTTATAGCCTTGTTTTAACCAGTAATCACAGATCAACATTACTCAAACCAAAATAATAAATTTGAGACTACAATAGGAAAAAATTACATAACATTTGAAAATTATTCAGTTCAAATTGTGTATGTTTTCCAAAGAAATATCAGATTACTTGAAGCAATATATAGATATTTACCTCAGTTTTATGTCTTCAATTTTCAAATGGAAAGACAATGTATTCCTATGTGCTTGGAAATGTTTTTTTTCCAAACTGCTTTGTTCTACATTTACTCCACAAATTGAGCTTTTAATTCTTATTATGGGAACTGGAAGTCTAAGTAACTCAAAATTATTTTAAACAATTTCTAAACCAAAGCAGCAGTATTGTAACTCCAGAAATGTCTGAGTCTGAGAAATGTCAGGTCTGAGACATCTTGACATTTCTAAGACAGCTGCAGCTGGAGATCATCTCCTCATGTACAGAAAATCGTGATTACATATACCTTTACAGCGATGAATTAAAGGTAGTTATCACTTGAAAGTTTCAGGTTTTATTAATGCAAATTTTAAATTGATTAATTTTTTTTTTATATAGGCGAAGATAAATAATATGTGCAATTTTTAAAGGCAGAAAATACCTGAGATCTAAACTGGCTGTGTTCCTATGAGCTTGGCATTTCAGTGTCACACTTGTTTTCACCTCATTCCCTTTTGGTCATTTGCTTGTATAGTTTCATGTTTTCCTGTCACTGTATTCATAGCTGTTATGTGTTGTGCATTAGAAGCATCCATCCTACACCAGTTCAGCTGTTATCATGGCAAAAGGTGAACAGCCCATCCCTGGTCTCATCAGTTATTGCCATCATGCAGCAGGCAGTGCAGGAGAACCGGTAAGAGACACTTCCAAGAGGCTTTTGCACTAACAGTAGCTAAAAATACACTGCCTGCCTCCTAGTCTACTGTGTGAACAGACAGTGTTGCTTATTTTCTTCTAACAAAGACACTTCACTGCTATCCTTTAGAGAATGCTACAGAAAATACTCTGTTTAAGATACAGGGCTAAACAAGGTAAAGTTCATGTGCATTGTCAGTTTGAATCATTTGGCTGCTGAGATAATCATTGCTATAAAGCCTGTTTCTGATTAGTCATAGGCTTTATCATCTAATATACTCAATAATTGAATATAATTAAAATAATCTCCTAAATTACTGCTTTAAAACTATGAAATTTTGGTAATTTTTTCCCCTTCATTTGCCTTGCTTTGTTTTTTTCTCTCAGTAGTTTGTTAACATAATACAGCGTTTGCATTGGGTGTTCATAGTTTGCTTTCATCACCTGCAGTTTCTCCCTTATTTTTGTATTCTGTTCAGAAGTAGAATTTCTCAGAAACAGAGGAAAAGACTTGATGAGTCAGGATACAGTGGACTTGTTATAAATTACTGGATTCTAGTGAATAGCGGGCAACTATTTCAATAAATGGTAGAAAAGACTTAGTTTTTTATAACCCAGAGGTTATAACTTGGGCTCTAACATAATACTATACTTCATTTTCCATATCCCAAAGGTTTAGTCTAGGTTTGAATCAAGGATAGAATAATGGCTACAGTATCATCAGGAATGAAATGTAATTTACTGTATTCATAACTGTAGGTTAGAGAAACCTGAGGAAACAGTTGGCCTAGAAAGAGTTGTGCTGTCTGACCCATGCATTCCATGTCAGCCAGCAAACGGGGTGTAAGTTCTTGGGAAAATGTGTCACTAGATTTGATGACCAGAGGCTGCAATTTCTTGTTCCCTTAGGCAAACAGTAATTTAAACCATCAATCAAATAGCATAACACCTCTGTATTTAAAACATGATGACCATGTCTCTTGAAAAGTCACTTAGGAAATGTGAAGGCTTTAAAGTTCACACACCTGATGACAAAGCTGTATACACATACACACACATTTATTCCAATAGTTTCTTTTTTTTGAGGTTACTAAAAAGAATTGGCACCATATTCTTCAGTATCAGTAAAGCAGTGAATTCAACCAATGCATTCTATAATTCAAATCAGATTTTCAAACTCAGAGCAGGAATTGGCTAGTTTTTCAGAAGGTTGGTCATTTTTTTTAAGCTGTCCTTTCTCTGTGTTTTTAAGATATTTTTGCTTTTGTATAATAATCATAGTAATTACCATCTACAGCTTGTTTTCTTAGTACCTCATCAGCACTGTCAATCTTTGTTCCAGTCCTGGGCAAAAGAGAATAAAGAGCTTATATCTTTTCCTTTTTCTCCTTCTTGCCAACCGTTAGTTCTCTAATCTGAAAACACAAATATTTAAACTGATACAAAAGTACTTCTGGAAAATGTCATATCAGATAAAAACTGTAGAAGCAATGACTGATGGGTATGGTGGTTATCTTTCTCTGTCACATCATTCATTTCTCATTCATTTCTTTCTTCATCAGTTTGTTACAACAGGTTTTCCACTCTAGTCAGTGGAAAACTATTTTCACTGAACATAGAGTTTTATTGTAACCCATTTAGAGTTTTAAGACCTCTACCCTCCGTGAAATTTGTTTGAAACTGGCAAATGAGTTGAAAAATTTTAGGGGGAGACATCATAAATACTCAGAGTGTGACTTTGTGAAAGTTTTTTTTAAAAATCTATCCAAAACACAGTAATATTCCTGCCCTTCCTTATTGCAGATTTCCAGGCTCCAGGAAACAGAAATTTCTCATGGGTTTATCAACCTGTTTAATAAGCTTAACAAGAAGTTGCCTTGATTAGAGCCTTAGATTGCCTAAATTTAATTTTAAAACGAAAAAAAAACTATTAAATGTAGATGAGAAAAATGAGACATTCCCCATATCACATAACATATATGCACAGAAATACCAATTATATTCTGTGTCCCTTACACTTAATGAACTGTATATATCCATTATGTTTTTTATATTTTAAGTTTGTGCAGTATACATATTAGTACTTTCTCTGAAATCAGCAGGCTGTAGTGGTTTAAAGAGAATATTAATGCTGATTTTAGCAATGCAACACACTCCACTGTCATATTAGAGAAATAAACCTCTTGAGAGCAAAATTTGTAACTGTGAACTAACTTAGTTCTCTCAGTGAGATTTTGTATTTGCGAAAGCTTGCAAGATGAAACTTACAGTTCTAGATAGGTTTATATATGGATTGTTTTATGGCAAATGTATTTTCTGTAAAGGTAGTGATTAGGGAATAATTCTCACTGAAATTAAATGCCTGTAATCATCTTTTCCCTTTATCTTCAGTTTCCTTTTCAGATTAGTTTCCTGGCTGAAATTTTACTTAAATTTTAATTTTCGCACAGGTAAAAATTAGTACTTCACATGGCAGTTCAATGAAGACTGGAATTGTCTCAGTCACTTTGTTTCAGAGAGAGTTTTTTGTTCTGAGGTGGTATCATACAAAAATTTAAAAGCAATGATTGATGGATATAGCGGATAGAAAAAAAAAGTTACTTGCCTGAAGGGGATGAAGCAATGTGTAATATCTGGTTTACTGTAGAGTAACCAGAGTAAACCCAGGGAGAACTAGATCAGGGTGTAATTTGCAAAAGCAATATTGTATTTATATTGTGGGATCTTGGAGTATATAAAAGAGGTAATGGACCCACACACAGTCATACCAAGATGTGTGCAGCTTTTTGTCAGGGTAGGGTAAAGAAAAGGTGTCTTATTTGAAGACTTAAAACAATTCTTTCTTTTATTGTGTCCTTTTTTTATTTTATGCCTTTATCAAAATGTAATGTTTTGCTATATTGTCCTTAGTCACGGACATTAAAAGGAAGCATTAAAAGTTGTAGGTAGTATTGGAGCTATGCCAATATAAAATTTGGGGAGGTCAACCTTTTTTTGTGTTTAACATATTTAA